TATATATATATATATATATATATATATATATATATATATATATATATATATATATATATATATATATGAGTCATTCTACGTCAAAACGGCCACTCTTTTACCCAAAATTGTACTGCACTAAATGTAATTTGCGATATATCAAAATTTAGATTAAAGTATCTAGATTTCGATGCCGTTCAACGGTTTTAAAAAATTTTAAATACTGGCTTTAATTTCATCGGACAAATAGAAAATGGCAAGTTTTTCATTATTATTTCTTTCTCATCTCTGCTATTTCTTACACATAAATAACAAAAGTCAATGTCAATACAATTTTGTCCGCTGAGTCTGAATATGAAGTCAAAAAACGAATAATATGTTTTTGTAAATAAATATTTAATTTTTATTTGTATCCACTTCTAAAAGATAAAAATAATATTGTTTTTAATAATGTTTTTTTTTTATTAATATGACACTTCTACGTTATAATGGTAATTATGCAGAATAGCGGATGCATCTCCAATGATTTTGACCTTGACCTTGACATTGTAGAGGTCATCCTCCTGAGAGACCTTTTGAAGGTTTTAGCCGTCGCTCGTTGTTTGTTATTAACAAAAAAGTTATTAACAAAAGAAGTTACATAAAATAAATATAATTGTTGGACACCGTATATACAAAAACATCGAATTTATACGCTAGGAAGGTGCCTGCTACATACACATTCATACACACACACACACACATTGCTCTCCTGCACGCGCGCTCGCCCACTTGCCCGGGTGTGTTCACGGTGTGTGCGTGTGTTCCTATTATATTTGGATGATTTAACAATTATCCATGTAATTTTGTGACACTGCATAAATTAATATGTGAGAGATATATCATTCTATTTATAAAACTTCAAATATAATAGAATGTGTGTGTGTATCTGTGTGTGTGTGTGTGTGTGTGTGTGTGTGTGTGTGGTGTGTGTATCTGTGTGTTTGTGTTTGTGCGTGCGTGCGTGTGTGTGTGTGTGTGTGTGTGTGTGTGTGTGTGTGTGTGTGTGTGTGTGTGGTGTGTGTGTGTGTGCGTGCGTGTAGCATACACCGTTCTAGCCTACAAAATCGATGTTTTTATATATACGGTGTCCAAAAATTACACACACACTGCTTGCCCGCCTGTGCGCTCGTCCGCCCGCCCGGGCAGACTCGCGGTGGGTGCGTATGTATATAAAATAGGAACATACGGGCGAGCGCGCGGACGAGCGAGCCTATGTGTGTGTGCGCGTGCGCGCCTGCGTATGCAACTGAACGTAACACGGCTTCCAAATTTTCAACATGCATTTGTATGAATTTCTTAATGTAACTCACGATTCCTTGCTTTTTTAAAAGAAAGATACATGAAATATATGAACAAGTACTTTATTGATGAATTGGTGTTGTAACGATGCTTCATACGCATCGTCACGAAAACAGCCGACATAACAACCGCCGATTGTAAACGGCGCTAAGCGCCAAATAAACAATGTAAACATAAATACGCGCCGCGCCCAGCACACGTCAATAACAACATCGACGCGAGACAATGGCAACTGTCAGACGGAAAGATACGGTATATAAACCGTGGCCGGAAAAGAATCGAGGCCAGATCGATCCGAAGCGTAGACCGAACTCGATGCTTCAGAGCGGAGAGCAAGGAGCCCGATCGCATCGTTTCTGCCTTCCCGTCAATTCCTAACACCGTACAGGCAAAACCGGCACCAGGAGATTGTGTGTTCGCTATCTCCGTCGAGCGCTCTTGACACCGACTTCGCCTTACTATCTGGATCCAACGACCGGCCTACGAGTTCGTGTATTCGTGGACCCGATCGGGTATTCTCGGTACCGATCGTATCCCAAACCCAAGGGCAAGTCCACGTGCCAGTGTGTTCTCTGCGCTCGATCGAACGTTGTCGATACTTGCCTATTACGCTTCGGCAACAAGCGAATCACCCGATATATTACACCGCGTGCTGTTATACGCAGACCTCTGCTGTACTGCCGGACCCCCGCGGCCACCAACCTGTTCGCACCGCGATTCGCGAAACCACCGCGGTTGGTGTCTCGCGACGCACCGTCTTCCTGCTACCCGCTCTGCCTACCGAACCGCAAGGCGCGATCAACCGAAAACGCGATCCGATTACTGGCGCCGTCTCGCGCCAACTTACACGCAATTTCAACAGTTGTTCTGTACAGTGAAATCCAAATAAACTTTCATCTGTTTTTGTTATTTGCTGGTGTCAATCAATTAACGTACCCGGACTCCGACGAGCGACATTCCTTGCGATACAACGAACAGCCGACACGCGGAGTTTGGCTGTTACAGTGTGACAGAAATATTTTTCGCACGCACACACGCACGTACTCACATACGCACGCACGCGCGCGCGCGTAGAACTAAATGTCTAGAAAGAATCACGCTTACCGTTTACATATTATACTTAATATATTCTGTGTTAATATTAATATACCTTTCTTGTGAGTTTTTGTTCGATACGTTTACATGTCAACTACAGCTGCAGCGATCGATCGAGCGGTCGCTCGACAACTTCAAAAAACTTGGGCGGACCAACCTAACACCGGCAAAGGTACGGTCTCGACTCTCAGCTCTAAAGGATCTCTGGCGGCAATTCCAAGACGGGAACACCGTGCTCCTGGAGACTGTTCCGTCGACCATTCAACAGACCCAGGACTACTTCGTGGAGCGCCGATACGAGTCGACGGAAAAGAGGTACCAATGCACCGTTGACTTTATGTCGGAAATTCTGGAGGAGCTCGAGCCGCCTGTAAGTCCCAGCAATGACTCTATACAAAGCGGTCAATTTCGATCAAATGTCGCCGCGTTATCTCTCGCACAACTTCCGCATATTCGTTTGCCTCCGTTTGACGGAAATCTCGAGGAATGGGAGCAGTTCCGCGATCGGTTCTCGTCGCTCATTATCCAAAACCCGGACTTAAATAATTTCGCTCGCATGCATTTTCTTTCCTCGTGTTTGCGAGGGCAAGCGCTGAACAGTCTCGGTAACATGCCTATCACCGCCGCGAATTTTGAGATCGCATGGCAAACTCTAGTGTCGCGTTTCGAAAATAAAGGGCGACTCTTGCAATTGCATTTGTCTAAATTATTGAATCTCCAGACTGTTCATAAAGAGTCTGCTTCGGAGTTGCAATCACTTCGAGACTGCGCGAATATTTCTGTTACTTCGCTC